CACCCCCGCCTTCCCGTGTCCTCACAGCTGCCCGCCTTGGCCCGAGCGGCCCCCGTTCTCACTCTCCACCCTCCGCTCCTGCCGCTGCCTCCGACGGCGACGTCCTTCCCTTGCCTCGCTCCTTGCCGAACTCCTATTTAAACACCACGGACTGGCTCAAGTACCCACCCTCCTGCACACCCTCCCCACCGTCTCAAAGGCCGCCACACCTTTCCTGGAGATGCCGGACGTCTCCACACGGCCCTGCACTCGCCGGGGACGTCCCGGCTCACTGTGGACGTGAGCGAGCCCCCGAGAGCAAGACACGTCCGATTCGTAACCTGGCCCGGAGCCCGGCACTCAGCAGGTGCACAAGCGTTTCTTCAGTTCGGGTCTGTAGACTACGAACCACTTAAAAACACAACAGCTAAGGCTCCTTCATGAAAGAGGGTCCTTGCGGATGGAAACAAAGCACAGCCCCCACCTGCTCCTCCACCTGCTCCTTCCCCCCCCACCCCCCCCATGGAGACTGCCCGCAACTCGCCCCATTCCCGGCTGCTCTGCAAACCGAGTGAGCGAGACCCGGAGGCTGGCTGGACGCGTACCGCTTTATTGATAACACACAAATGAGGCACGCCGGAGGGCGCCAGTCCGTGCGCTACACCGTGTAAAACAGTAGAAAAATCAGTTAGTAAAGCAGAAAATTCAAGTGATTTACTACAATATGGAGCAAACGGCCTGAAAACTGGTATCTCCATTGGCAGTTTCCACTGATAAAAGTTCTTACTTCATGAATTAAATACATTGAGAAATACAGTGAAAATCTATTTACAATCATTTAAAATGGGCACCGGTGACATATTTAATTAAAAAAAAAATCTTTGATGCTTCTAGTTTGTTTTTTTTCAAAGAGAATTTTAAATATGACTTTAGTTTTTTTTTTAAAAAATACAGTAGGAAATAATTACAATCTTAATATGAAAACATTTTACAACTTATAGCCGTGGTCAATTAATGCTAAATAGAATGCAAAAGTTGGTGTTAAAATTTAAAGTCACTGCTTTCCTCCTCACTAGAAATCAAATACAAAGATTATTTCATTAAAAACACCTTTGGTCCCTAAGAATCACGATCTGACGATCCCATGTTGAAAATACCTTCCATGGCGACAGCTCGGAACGCCTGGGGACACGTGCCCGCTGCAGGAAAGGGGACTTTTTCTGGAAGATCGCAGCTGGAACTGTTTCACGAAAATGGGGCGGCAGAATCGAGGGAGCCCGGCGACCCCTGGGGCGCAGCCACCTGCCTTCACCCCGGACACGCCGCCTGGGGGCGCTCGTGGGAGAGGCTGAGCCCGCCTCTGGGCACGCGGTGTCGTTCACCGTCACGTCTTCACAGTATCAACCCGGCCCTCCACGGGGACAGCAGCCAGCAATGACAACAGGAACAAAGAGGACTTGCGCTCTTTAAAACGACACGACAGACTTAAAATTTTTCCCATTAAAAAATTATCTTAGAAAGAAAAAAAAAAGAGGGCAGCCACAGTGGGCCACGTGAGCGATGCCGCCTTGCCCCTCGGCAGGTCCTGTCACACGCCTCGGCCAGCAGACCGAGTGCACGGCCAGGTGTGTGGCCAAGATGAGGCTTCCAGCCAGAGGGCACGCGGGGACGGTCGCCATTCCCTTCTGGACAGAAAAGATGTGACCACAGACAAATGGGTCCTGCCCGAGACACCCATGCTGCCCCAGGTTGATCCCCTTGCAAAGCTGCACACAGGTTCCAGACTGTGGCTGTGAGCGAACAAGTCTGAGTCTCCTTCCTGGGCGCGGCCTTCAGGCCTGAGGGCACAGACCGCTCCAAACAGACTCGACAAAAGGTAAATCCGCAAACCATTCGGGTAGTTTGTCGAAACGCATGCGGGGGAGATCAGGCTTGGCAACACAGAGGTGTGCGGATGAACGGGATGGCGGGGGGGGGGGGGGGGGGGGGGGGGCAGGACGGGTTCACACCACGGCGTGAAAGGTCACCCAGAGAAGACTCCAGAAAGCTCCACAGCCATCTGGGCCGCTCCCCAGACCCACACTGGTTACCCTGTGGTGGAACCGTCTGGACGCCCGGCAAGGGTGTGGCCAGCTTGCAGGGCCTTGCCCAACCCTCTACGGACTCTGAACAAAGGAAAAGTGACCTTCCCACCTGTGCCCACACCAGGTGACCATTTTCTGCCCACCTGTGCCCACACTGAGGTGACCATTGCTTCTGTGCAAAAGGCTGCTGGGTGACTTTCAAACGTTACAAACACAGAAGGCGGGAGGGGATTTTGAATGTGGATGACATGTGACCAGAGGCAGCGCCTGGAGACTGATGGTGTGGCTTCAAGTGCTGCTAATGGAAGTGGCCCGTCACCCGCAGAGCTGGCCCCATCTGCGAGCCCCCCGCGTGCCTCCCACTTTGGGTCAGGGCCCCGTCATGGTCTGGCCATCACTCCATGAACGGGACCGTCTGTTACGGCTCGGGTGACGTCTCCAGTGGGACATGACTGGCACCCATGCAGCGAGGGACCCTCAGCCCGCTGCACACGTCACCTCGCTGGGCAGGGCCTGAGCCCTAGGGTGCTTGGGGAAGGTGGTAAAATGACATCGCTGTCAGGATTCTGACAAGATGGCTAATGTGTGTCTAATATATACAGACATAAATTAAAAACTCTATTTATTGAACATATACAAATAAATAACTTAATTTGAAGCAAATCCCTTCACCTAACTTTCTGACCAAATCTAAAGACATCGAGGGGAACGCACAGCAAAGGAGCCCAATGTCAGCAGACTTGCTCTCTGCGCGACCCCCACAAGTGGCTCCGCGGGACGCAGGACCCGCCTGAGCCTGTTGGCCCCTTTAAAGGGTTCGTGGCTGTGAAAGCGAATTTAAAACCTGGCGTTTTAGACACCGGTTTTGTACGTCAGGAGCGTGAGGACCAGGGTCCGAGTCCTAGTCCGGGCTCTGGCTCCAACAGGTTGTGTCCTCGGGCAAACTCATGGGGATGAGGGTTAGCACCGCCTGGGGTCTCCCTGGCTGTGCTGCTGTCCATGGTCGGGCGCACAGGCTGCACACTTTCCCTCCTGATGGCCCTAACCTGGCAGCTGTCTCGGGCAAAGTCGGCTGTCAAGCAGAGAGGCCCCAGCGCCTTACGCTGAGAAATTTTACTGGACCGGAAGGCAGCAAAAATCTACGGTGGATCAAACCTTTTGCTTTTACAGAAAATCAGTTTCATAGAAGGAAGGCAAGGCGGTCCAGCTTCCCACACGGACGACAGCAGTGCTGGGAAGACGGGCCCTGAGGTCCTGGGGGCATTCCCCCTCGATGTCCCAGGGGGTCGAATGGGCTGGGTGCTGGGGAGATAGGTCTCCACCTGCTAACGGGTGACGGGGGCCCTGAGGGACAGGCCAGGAGACAGCTGGGTCTCCGCTCGGGCCCAGCTCCACAGCTCACACTCCCTGCTGTAAACTGTCTCGCTAAGGTCACAGGCAGCCTCAGGACCCCTAAGAAGAAAGGGCGGTGGGAGCCGTGGCGGAGCCCAGGACAGGCTACGCGGGCGCCTGGGGGAAAAGCGGGGCAGACCGCTTCTTGTCTGCGGTTCCCGTATTTGGTGGGGAACCCGCGGCGGATGGAAGCCTTGCTCCGCTGCGGCTCCACGTGGTGCAGGAAACGACCTCCACGCGTGTGTGACGCGTGCCCCCGAATCTGTCTGCAGAGGGGTCCTGGGGTGACCACTTTTATTCCATCGGTAGCTGCACCCCCCATTACTGAGGATTCCTGAGAGGGTCCCTCTGGAGACACAGCAGATTACCTGGCTCTGAGAAACGCCACACGGGTGCAGGGACCCGACCCCGGCCCGCGGGCCTGGGAGCAGCCCAGTGCCCCTGCGCTCCGGGTCTGCGTGCGGGAGGCAGGGCCGTGCTCTCGTCCTGCACCAGGATGCTCTGGTTCTGTGGCCGGGCGGCTTCCAGAACCTGCTTCTCTCACGGGACTGGCCCGTCTGTAAGTGGAGGTTTCACTGTAATCCCGCGAGGCACCTGCGGGCTCTGAGTGGCAGGCAGGGTCGGGGACAGCGGGGAAGGGGACAAGGACACACATTGGTGAGCAGCAGAGACATTCCGCTGCCTTTCAAAAGCAGTACAAATAATTAATAAAATATGGTACAGAACCTCTGAAGAACCCTTAGAGCTAAGTGCAACACATGATAAAAGGAGAATTTTTTTAAGGTTTAAAAAGAATGGCAGCTTTTCACGTCACGGTGACAAAAGCCTTTGTCCAGAAAAAAGACGGTAAAAGGGGAAAGATGCTTCACAGCACAGGTGCATCACGTGCCCGCCTCCAGTGACGAGGGGGACGGGCGCGTGGGGAGGGACGCGGAGACCCCGGCCTCTGGGCAGACGGGCAGGGCGGTGCCGCTGCCCACGCCGGCCGCGCTCACCCGCGAGGGCCCGGGTCTGGGCCCGGGGGGGCTGCGGGGCCGGCGCTCCCGGAACCCGGGAAAGGGGTGCAGCTCCTTCCCGTTCGCCACGGGGCTCCTTCCCGTCCTCTCTGCTCTTTGGCAAGTGGAGGCGGAAGCCAAAGTGTTACCAGGAAGTCTCTTTAAGGGGGACGTGAACGGTAGCGAGAGTGCGCGCGGGCGGGCGTGGGCGCTGGCGTCGGAGCTCGGTCACAAACCCTCGCGTCCTGTGCCGCGGCCACGCGGGCGGGGCGTCCTGCCGTGCTCTACGTCCCGTTCTTCAGCTCCCATTCCTAAGTGTGGCGAGAGGAAGGCACAGGTCACGGTGGCCGGGGCCAGGAGGCAGGGCTGCGCCCCGGGGACGCAGGCCGCCTGCAGTGTGGGGACAGGCACGGCGGGGAGAATGGCCATCCCACCTGGGAGTCAGACCCACGCGAGGGGCCGCTGGGAGGTGCAGGGAGGGGGCGTGTGTGGGCGCGGGGCCGGGGGCCGAGCGGGGCGGCCGCGCTCCATCCCCCACGCCCCGGGGGGCAGCGCTGGCTGACGTGCACGCCCGACTCCTGCTGGATTAACGGGGCTTGTTCACTGCGCACCTGCGCACATCGCATGAAACGGGGGATTTCTCACCTTTTCTGGGGTCAAAAGTCGAAGCTTAATTACAGTTAAAAGCATAGCTTTGGCCAATGTGCCGGAAACAGAAGCAAAACCGAGCCGCCCTCACGCCCAGGAAACCACGTGTGGGCACGGTCAGGCAGGCTGTGCAGACAGAGGACCGGCCTCCAGTGCGGCCTCCCTCGGCCCTTCTGCTGCTTCCCCGAGACGGCCACGTGGGCAGGTGTCCACCGTGAAAGCCAGGAGGCCGCGTCCCCCACTCCCCACCGCCGCGGCTCACGATGTGCCCCGGGGCCGTGCAGGGTTTAGAGAGAAGACGGGTGTGCGTGTTGTCCACAGAAGCTGCCACGTGTCTCCCCGACAAGTTTAGCAAAGGTAATGCAATCGCCAGGCGCGGGTCACAGTGACCAAAGCCAGGAGGGACAGAGAGAGCTGCACGAACACACCGAAGCAGGCCAAGGTGGGAAGGGAGACCACAGACCCACAGGCCCTCGCTGGAGAGTCTGCGGAGAGGTCGGGCGCCACCGTGAAGCAGCCCTCCGGAAGGGTTTGCCTGTGGAGGCTCCAAAGGCACGCTGGGGCCATGGCACCAGGCTTCCAGAACACCCCTCAGCGTGCAGGTTTCCTGACGGAGCCGGGGGAGCACCGGGCCTGGAGCTGAAGGCCCGTGTGACAGGTGCCTCCCACCATCCGGGTTCCCATCGGGACCCGGAAGTCACTTAAGGGATGCCATCTGGGCTAACCCCTCCCGTGCCCAGAACGAGCCGACGGTCCTGGTCCTCAGAAAGGGGCTGGGGTGGGCCCCTGAGAGCACACGTGTGATGCCCCTAAGTGTGGATTACTGTTCCCAAAACCCCTGGCCCTGACCCCAGCCATGAGGCCCCTGTCGCCTCCCAGGGATCCCGGGAAACCCCTGTGCGACCCCCCTCTCCCTCGGTGAGGGACCCGCAAGCAGGGACAGCGGCTCCCCTCTGTGGGCCTGGGCTGGCCTCAGTGCTGCCATCCATCTGAACCGGCCGAGGTCACGGAGAAGCGGCAGGGGCTGCCGTCCCCAAGCCGGGGGGCCGCCGGGCGCCCCCGGGGCATACAGCTGGATGGGGGGCTGCCGCGGCTCAGTGGTAAATCTGATTTCTTCCACAGGAGAGGAACAAAATAGCTGCTACGCTCTTACCGCACGGCTCATCTACAAACAATTAGCGGGACCAGGAGGGCCGGCTCTGTGCGCTCCCCGGGGGGGCTAACGGGCACCCGGCAGGGGCACCTCTCAGCGGTCAAGGGTGTGCCAGGAAGGACGTGCCCGCAGCCACAGCCGCCAGCACCCACCGTGGGCACCCAGGGGGCCGCTCTCAGCCACCCACGGCCACCTCTCAGGAGACACTGCATCTCTAGGCAGGTCGGGCGGGTTCTGACGGCGACGAAGGGCCCAGAGGCGGCAAAGGGAGGCTGCCCGCCTCCCCACGCGGCAGAGCACATTACACGCATCTGATGAATTAAGGTAATTACTCCCAGCCCGACTTCTCTGCATGCCACGCTTGCGGTCACCGCAGTCAAGAACCGTTCACTTTGACAAACTATAACGGATTTAACATTTTCTGAGAGTTTTCGGTCTAGCATCCCAGCTTGTCAGGGCCAATTCCAGACAGGAGACTGGAGAGCACGGGTGGGCACAGGGGTTCACCCTGTGCCCCCAGTACCACCGGCAAGGCAGTGGGGCAGCCTGGACTCTGAGAACCAGAGGTCACCTGGTCCAGTCCCCACCCCAGGTCCGCCCAGAGCCACAGTTGCTAGGGACACCAGCTGGTCGGTGCCCTGAGCTAGGTTCTGGGGCTCTTGGCCTTTGAAAAGGAGGAGGACCCTGAAGGAGGCCCTGGCTGTGGGGACAACGGCGAGGCCCTTGGAGCACCCCTCC